TATTACAAGAAAAAAAAATAGTAGCCAAAACCGGTTTGGCTCAGTGGATAAAGCATCAGCCTGAGGACTGAAGGGTCCCAGGTTCGATTCTGGTCAAGGGCATGTGCATTGGTTGCAGGCACATCCTTGGTGGGGGTGTGCACAGGAGGCAGCTCATCGATGTTTCTCTCATCGATGTTTCTAACTCTCTATCTCTCTCCCTTCCTCTCTGTATAAAATCAATAAAATATATTTAAAAAAATAACATTTAAATAAAAACTTGATGTCTTTTTAAATGATTCCCTGTTTTCCATAAAGATAATGCAGCTCTGTTCTTACCCGTATCTTTCCTCGTATGCAACTCAGAAGGCAGTATTCTTTTTTTTTTTTAATCAATCTTTATTGTTCATATTATTACAAAGGTTCCTCATTTCTTCCCCCCTCCACCAGGTTCCCACCCCGCCCTCCGCCCCCTCACCATCCCCCATTGTCCTCATCCATAGGTGCACAGTTTATGTTCAGTCTCTTCCTCCCTCCCTTTCCCCGATAGTAAATCCCTTTTCAGATAGTAAATCAGTTACTTAGCATTTTCTCATATCAATAATACCACCACATGCCCAATGATACACTTCACACAAGAGACATTTCCAAATAGGTCAACCAGCCTCATCCAGGCCCCACCCAAGGCACTCACAGATCAACACCCCAGCCCTATACTAACTCAACACATCCATATCTAAGCCTTCATCACTTGATTCAGCAAACCCTCAAGTTCCCGCAAAAGTTTCCAGCCATGTCTGAGAGGCAGCCGTGGGGCAGGGACAGGCGAGGAGCGAGCTGTTCCGGGCCTGGCTGCTCCGGGCCTGGCCTCTGTTGCTCTGGTCTGTTCCACAACCAGCTGCTCCGGGTATGGCCACTGCCGCTCCCGACCTAGTTGCTCTGGACTTGACTGCTGCTGCTCCGGGCCTGGCTGCACCCGACCCGGCTGCTCCAGGCCTGGCCACTCCCAGAGAAGGCAGTATTCTTTTTTTTCTTTTTTTTAAATTGTTTAAGGGAATTTTGAGAAAATAAACCCTAGTCAGTTTTGCTCAGTGGTAGAGCATCAGCCCTCAAATTGAAGAGTCCAGAGTTCAATTCTGGTCAAGGGCATATACCTCAGTTGCAGGCTCAATACCTGGCCCTGGTCAGAGCACAACCAATTGATGTGTTTCTCTCACATCGATGTTTCTCTCGCTCTTTCCACCTCCCCTCCACTCTCTTTGTAAAATAAATAAATAAATAAATAAATAAATAAATAGCAATAGAAAATATCTCAGGTGTGGATTAACAACAAAAATAATTTTTGAGCCCTAACCAGTTTGGCTCAGTGGATAGAGCATCAGCCTGCGGACTCAAGGGTCCCAGGTCCAATTCCGACCAAGGTCTTGTACTTTGGTTGCGGGCACATACCCAGTAGGTAGTGTGCAGGAGGCAGCTCATCAAGTTTCTAACTCTCAATCCCTCTCCCTTCCTCTCCATAAAAAAATCAATAAAATATATATATTTTTTAAAAACATTTTTTGAGAAAATAAAGTATGCATGAAAATATTTCAATCTGGAGAAAACTGGCACTTTTCAAATCTATTTCAAATGGCACCAATATTGGTTATCTCTATTGATCTAATTATTTTACATTCTTAGTGACAATATAAAGTGCTGACTACAAAAACTAGTCTTATGCTATACTAGAGGCCCAATGCACAAATTTGTGCTCAGGTGGGATCCCTCTGGGTGGCCTGCAGGGATCAGGCCAAAACCCAGTCCAATACTGCCTGCAGCTCTTACCTGTCGCTCCCGTTCATCCCAGCCCCACTGTGCCTGCAGTCCCGATCAGGAGGCTCACGCTGCCACAGCAGCGCCCACCAGCCATTTGGCTTCTGGTGTCCTTCTAAGGGGAGTGGCCTATGGGATGGGGCTGAACCTGGCTCTCCGTCATCCTCCAAGAGGTCCTGGATTGCAAGAGGGCACAGGCCAGGCTGAGGGACCCTACCAGTGCACAATTGAGCCAGGGAGGGACTGCAGGACTCCAGGATATGTCTGGCCCATCTTACTCAGTCCCAGCAGCAAGCTAACCTATTGGTCAGAACGTCAGTGCATGTCAAAGTGACTGGTTAACCAGTTGACTATCTGCCCCCTGGTAGTCAGTGCACGTCATAGCAAGCAGTTGAGCAACCTTAGCATATCATTAGCATATTAGGCTTTGATTGATTGTTCAATTGTTATGCTCTTCGGTCTATTTGCGTATTACCCTTTTATTACATCTGTATATAGTCTATATAAATAAAGAGGTAATATATAAAGAGGTAATATGCAAATTAGTCAGGATGCTGTAACAGTCATGACTGGCTCAGGGGGAGGCTGCGCTCTCAGATGGGCAAGAGGGGGACTGCGTGCCTGGTGAGGCGAGCCATGGATGGCACAGGCCCGGAGCGGACATACACACGGGGGCCTGCCCCAGCCACCACTGCACAGCTGGAGCAGGCCTGAAGTGGACACACCGCGCTGCACCAGCAGTCCTGCCTCTCCACGTGAGCTGCAGAGGACACACCTTTTCAGACCGCTCACTGGCTAACCTCCCTGTATGCCACTCGCAGTGTTCTTGGTAACTTGGGTAATAAGAATCCAAGAAGGTAATCCAGGAGGGGGGTTTTTCCACCTCCCTCCTGGAGGAAAAAGCAAAGGTCCGCTGCTGGAGGGGCTAAGAAATGTCAAAACCTAGCCAGTTTGGCTTAGTGGATAGAGCCTTGGCCGGTGGACCACGGGTCCAGGTTCAATTCTGATCAAGGGTATGTACCTAGGTTGCAGGCTCCTCCCTGGCTGGGGCCCAGATCAGGAGGCAACCAATCGAGTGTCCCTCTCACATTGATGTTTCTCTGTCTTTCCCTCTCTCTTTCACAACTCTAAAAATCAATGGAAAAATATCCTCAGGTAAGGATTTAAAAAGAAAAGAAATGTCATATCCTATGAAAGAGACATCTTGAAAATGCCTAAAGTTGTCATTTTTTTGTAGTGAAGGGACTGGAGTCAGTGTTGATGAAAACACCTTGGCAGCTGTGGTGGCTGGCAGTGGCAGCAGCAGCAAGGTGATGGGGCTGGCACCTTCCCCTGATCAGCCTGGTTGCCTCCAGCAGAGGACATCTCCTGAGGGCTCCCAGACTATAAGAGGATAATAAAGAGCTAATATGCAAATGGTTGTCATGCTCTCATGTCATCACACTAAAATAATGGCTCAGACACTGAACACTGGGGAAAGAGGAATGAGGACCTGCCAGGCACAAATGAGCTCGCAAGAGAGGAATGGTGACCAGCCAGACTGTGGCCCAGAAGAAGGACAAGCCATCCGCCCCACAATCCTGGGCACCAGCAGCTGTGGCCCAGGCAAAGATGCCCGCCCATAGTTCCCTGCAGCTATGGCTGGCCCAAGTGAAGCCGGCCTGGTTCTGGGTGCCTGCAGCTGGCTAGAGGGAGGGAAGTCCAAGTCCCGGATGCCTGCAACAGGCCAGAGAAGGAAATCCTGGGTCCTGGGTGCAGAAAAAGGCAGAGGCGGTTAGGGGTGAATAGGCTAGCAGGGGAGCAGTTAGGAGGAATCAGGCAGGCAGGCAGAGGTGGTTAGGGGCAACCAATCAGGCAGGCAGAAGGGTTAGGGGTGATCAGGCAGGCAAGCAGGCAAGCAGGCAAGGGGTTAGGAGCCAGTGGTCCTGGATTGCAAGAAACAATTGGACATCCCCTGAGGAGTCTGGATTGAAGAGGGTGCAGGCTGGGCTGAGGGTACATACCATGCATGAATTTCATGCACTGGGCCTCTAGATTTTTGGGTGGTTTTTTTTTTTAAAGGAAGTTATAGCACTTTAAAATAACTGAAAATAACCTGAAGTGCTGAAAAGCTTTAGTTCATAAATATAGTTAGTAGCTTGGAAAACACTATGATTGACACTAACATGCAAAATAGTGGTAAAAAGTCACGTAGGTGGAGAAAAGTACACATGTACTCTGACCTTTCCTTCCAAACTCAATGCATGCAACGTGGGACCAAATTCTTTTGTGACTCCAACCTCTTTATTAGCTTAGTACTACATAATTATCTCATTCCTACTCCTTAACCCTAAAGCCCTCTACTATCACTTCAACCTATTCCAGATTTTGTCTATGAAACCAAAACTCCACACCGTAATAGGAACTCCATACATCCAAGAAGTAGTTATGGACTCTGAAAACCACAGAAAAAGGCATTTCAGTTTGTAACTGGTGATATGGGTGATAATAGCAATAACTAGTGCTTATAGTGTGCCAAGCATTGATTTTAGCACTTTACATTCTTATCTCATCAATCCTCACAAGAAACCTTAGATATTATTATCAATACTAGAGGCCTAGTGCATGAAATTTGTGCATGGGGAGAGGTATCTCTTAGCCCAGTTTGCACCCGCTCCAATCTGGGACCTCTCGATGTCCGACTGCCCATTTAGGCCCAATTCCAGTAGGATCAGGCCTAAAAGGGCAGTCGAACATCCCTCTCACAATCCAGGACTGCTGGCTCCCAACTGCTCGCCTGCCTGCCTTCCTGATTGCCCCTAACCACTTCTGCCTGCCAGCCTGATCTCCCCATAACCACTCCCCTGCCAGTCTAATGGATGCCTAACTGCTCCCCTGCCAGCCTGTTTGCCCCTAACTACCCTCCCCTGCAGATCTGGTCACCCCTAACTTCTCTCCCCTGCATGTTTGACTGTCAGTAACTGTCCTCCCTTGCAGGCCTGGTCCCTCCCAACTGCCTTCCCCTGCTGGCCATCTTGTGTCCACATGGGGATAGTCATCTTTGACCACATGGGGGCAGCCATTTTGTGTGTTGGAATGATGGTCAACTTGCATATTATTCTTTTATTAGATAGGATACAAGTCTGGTGCACAGATGGGGGTTGGCTTGTTTGCTCTGAAGACTGTCCTAGATCAGGTTGGGGAATCCCTTGGGGTATGGGGTGGCCTGGGTGAGGGGCCTGTGGTTTTCAGGCTGGCCATAGCCCCTGGCGACCCAAGCAGAGGCCCTGGTATCTAGGATTTATTTATCTTTTATAATTGAAGCTTTGTAGCCTTCAGCGGAGCCAAGCCTCCTCCTCACTCCATGGCTGCCGCCATTTTTGTTGGGATTTATTTATCTTCTATAATTGATACTTTGTAGCCTTAAGCAGGGGCCCAAGATAGGCCAGGGCTGCGGAAACTTGGATTCCTCCATTGCAGGGGCAACTCAAGCCTCCTGCTCTCTCCATGGCTGCAGCCATTTTGGTTGGATTAATTTGCATACTCACTCCTTATTGGCTGGTGGGCATGGCTTGTGGGTGTGGCGGGCAGTCAATTTGCATATTACTCTTTTATTAGATAGTACTAGAGGTCTGGCCTGCGGGAATTGATCCGAGACTGACTCCAATATTCCCCAAAAGGTTCCAGATTGCAAGAGGGTGCAGGCCAGGCCGAGGGACCCCACCGATGCATGAATCTGTGCACCAAGCCTCTAATATGCATATAAGATCTTTGGTTAATCTCTTCCCTTCCTCCCTTCTCCCCCCTTCCCTCTGAGATTCATCAGTCTGTTCTAGGTTTCCATGTCTATGGTGTCCACTCCTGCATTGAGCATCTGCCCCCGATGGTCAGGGCACATCACAGCTACCAGCCTGTTGGCCACTCACTTAGGTGTTTTTTGTTTGTTTGTTTTTTTATATATTGTATTGATTTTTTTACAGAGAGGAAAGGAAAGGGATAGAGAGTTAGAAACATCAATGAGAGAGAAACATCCATTAGCTGCCTCCTGCATGCCCCCTACTGGGGATGTCCCCGCAACCAAGGTACATGCCCTTGACCAGAATCAAAACTGGAACCTTTCAGTCTACAGGCCGACGCTTTATCCACTGAGCCAAAATGGTTTCGGCTGCTTAGGTTTATACACACACACACACACACACACACACACATATATTGTACTGCCCTAGCCGGTTTGGCTCAGTGGATAGAACATTAGCCTACAGACTAATGATTCCCAGGTTCGATTCTGGTCAAGGGCACATGGTCAGGTTGCAGGCTCAATCCCCAGTAGGGGTGTGCAGAAGGCAGACGGTCATTGATTCTCTCTCATCATTGATGCTTCTATCATCACTCTCTCCCTCTCCTTTCCTCTGAAATCAATTTTTAAAAAAAATTTCTTTAACTTTCAAAATAAAGGAAGAAATCAGAGTAGCCCTACTGGCGTGGCTCAGTGGTTGAGCATGGACCTATGAACCAGGAGGTTACGGCTGGATTCCCGGGCAGGACACATGCCCAGGTTGCAGACTCAATCCCCACTAGGGATCTCTCTGAAGTTAATAAAAATATGTTTTTTAAACTATTTTTACAAAAACACAAAAAGAGTACCTACTCCATCATCCTGCCTCAGCAGACACCCACCACGTTCCATCCGCACCCCCTGGTAGTCAGCACACATCATAGCAACCAGTTGTTCAGTTGTTCCACCATTTGGTCTATTTGCATATTAGGGTTTTGGTGTTTTGTTTTGTTTTGTTTTTCAATAAATGCCTATAGTACTGTAAATATATTTTCTCTTCCTTATCACTTTCCTAATAATATTTTATTTTCTCTAACTACTTTAAGAATACAATACATAGCCGGGACCGGTTTGGCTCAATGGATAGAGCGTCGGCTTGGGAACTGAAAGGTCTCGGGTTCGATTCCGGTCAAGGGCATGTACCTTGGTTGCGGGCATATCCCCAGTAGGGGGTGTGCAAGAGGCAGCTGATCGATGACTCTCTCTCATCGATGTTTCTAACTCTCTATCTCTCTCCCTTCCTCTCTGTACAAAATCAATAAAATATATTTAAAAAAAAAAGAATACAATACATAGAAATACACATAATATTTAGGTTATTGATAAGTCTTCTAGTCAACAATAGGCTATTAGTTAAGTTTTGGAGGAGTCAAAAATTATATGTAGAATTTTTACTATGGTATCAGTGCCCCTATATACCTTGTTGTTCAAGAGTCAACTATAGCCCTGGCTGGTTTGGCTCAGTAGATAGAATGTCCGCCTGCGGACTGAAGGGTCCCTGGTTCAATTCTAGTCAAGGGCATGTACCTTGGTTGTGGGCACATCCCCATTGTGAGGTGTGCAGGAGGCAGCTGATCAATGTTTCTCTCTCATCGATGTTTCTAACTCTATTTCTCTCCATTCCTCCCTGTAAAAAATCAATAAAATAATTTTTTTAAAAGAGTCAACTGTCGCCAAAACCGGTTTGGCTCAGTGGTAGAGCGTCGGTCTGCGGACTGAAAGGTCCTGGGTTCGATTCCAGTCAAGGGCATGTACGTGGGCTGCGGGCACACCCCCAGTGGGGGATGTGCAGGAGGCGGCTGGTCGATGTTTCTCTCTCATCGATGTTTCTGGCTCTCTGTCTCTCTCCCTTCATCTCTGTAAAAATCAATAAAATATATTAAAAAAAAAAAAAAAAAAGAGTCAACTGTACCACTGTAACCAGTTTGGCTCAGTGGATAGAGCATCAGCCTGCAGACTGAAGGGTCCCAGGTTCGATTCCTGTCAAGAGCATGTTCCTTTGTTGCAGGCACATCTCCAGTAGGGGGTGTGCAGGAGGTAGCTGATCGATGTTTCTCTCTCATCGATGTTTCTAACTATCCTTCTTTCTTCCTCTCTGTAAAAAAATCAGTAAAATATATATATTTTTAAAAAGAGTCAACTGTACTGCCTTGGCTGAATAGCTCAGTTGGTTAGTGCATCCTCCCGATCACCAAGATTTTTCCATCCCAGGTAAGGACATATACAAGAATCAACCAATGGGAGAACCAAGATGGCGATGTAGATAAATTCACCATCTCCCACACCACATCAAAATTACAACTAAAATACAGAACCAACATCATTCAGAAGCATTGGAATCTGGCTCCATGGAAATTCTCCAACTACAGAAGAAGAAAGCACATTAAGACTAGTAGGAGGGGCAGAGGCATAGAACAGACTGATCCAACACCCACGTGTGGCGTGTTTTTAATACAGAGTAATATCTCTAAGGCCTCCAGTGAGAAGCAGGTGCCAATCCCACACCAAACCCCCAAACCAGGGTTCCACACTGGGAAGAGAAGACCCTATAACTTCAGCTGTAAAATCTAGCAGGGATTGTGGCTAAAGGCTACTGGAGTCCCAGATGTTCATCTTAAAATAACTGGAGGCTACTGGAGATCCAGGTGTTCATTACCCAAACATGAATAAACATGTCCAGCTTCTCTCAGCTCCAACTTGGGAGGAGGGGAAGTGGGCAGCTTTGAGGAACCTAGGGACATAGGGACATACGGGGAAGAATTGTTCATATTTCTTGGGTAAATGTTAACGTTTCTAGAACTGATACATACCAAAAAGTGAAATTGCTATGTTGAATGCATGTGCTTTTAAAATTTGATAAATGTTGTCAAACTGCACAGCTAATAAGCCAATATATCTTTCTACAAATAACGTATGAGAGTAACTATTGCCCCCACCTAGAAGGGTGCATTCATATACTGTCAGCTGATTTCTGGCTCAGTGGATAGAGCGTCAGCCTGTGGACTGAAGGGTCCCAGGTTTGATTCCAGTCAGAAACTTTGCTGGTCAGAAGAGAATGGCAAGAAATATTCAAAGTGATGAAAAGCAAGGACCTACCACCAAGATTACTCTACCCAGCAAAGCTATCATTCAGAATTGAAGGTCAGATAAAGAGCTTCACAGATAAGAAAAAGCTAAAGGAGTTAACCACCGCCAAACCAGTATTACATGAAATGATGAAAGGTATTCTTTAAGAAGAGGAAGAAGAAAAAGGTAAAAATAAAAATTATGAATACATATCTATCAACAAGTGAATCTACAAATCAAGTGAATAAAAAATCTGATGAACAGCCAAGACCCGTTTGGCTCAGTGGACAGAGCGTCAGCCTGTGGACTGAAGAGTCCCAGGTTTGATTCCGGTCAAAGGCATGTACCATGGTTGTAGGCACATCCCCAGTAGAATGTGTTCAGGAGGCAGCTGATTGATGTTTCTCTCTCATTGATGTTTCTAACTATCTCTCTCTCTCTTCTTCTCTGTAAAAAAATTAATTATATATATATATATATTTTTTTTTTCTTTAAACCTGATGAACAGAATAAACTGGTGAATATAATAGAATTGGGCCATAGAAAGGGAGTGCCCTGATAATTCTTGGGGGGAAAGAGGTGTGGGGGTGTGCAGGAAGAGACTGGACAAAAATCATACACCTATGGATGAGGACAGTGTGGGGAAGGGTTAAGGGCAAAGGTGGGGTGGGAACTGGTGGAAGGGAGCTATGGGGGGGCGAGGGGGAGAGGAACAACTGTAATAATCTGAACAATAAAGATTTATTTTTTAAAAATAATAAAAATAAATCAACCAATAAATGCACAAATAACAACAACATCTCCCCTTTCTCACTTCCTCTCTCTCTCTCTCTAAAATCAATCTACCTAATAAAAGAGTAACATTCTAACTGACTGTACCTTCACGATGCCCAACAGCCAATCAGGAGTCAGTATGCAAATTAACCCAACAAAGATGACAGGTTAATTTGCACACACAGGTGCCAAGTGGCTGGGTGCAGGGTGAGACGCAGGCGTTCCGCACCACTCCAGCCGCTCCAGGCCTCTAGGCAGCATGGGAAGGCGGAAAGGCGGCTCCGGCCAGAGTGAAGGCGATGCCAGCATCCAGGGGAAGGAAGGCCCATTCTTGCACAAATCTTCATGCATCGGGCCTCTAGTCAACAAATAGAAAGCCAACTCTACTTTTAAACTCACATTCATACACACGCAATTTGTTCTCTAGGTTCTATAATCTCCTCTCCCTACCTTTTGGTAGGAGAAAATATGTCTAGGAAAAGCTACACATAAAAAACTATGAAAGTATATCTCTGTCACACATATAAGGGATAAGTGACATTCTAACTTATGTATTTGCTTTATTGATATGAAAGAATAAAATGTCTGAATGTAATGTACTGGCAGGGTTTTCATCACATCAAACAAAAAGCCAAATCACTATCTTATATTAAAGCATAGGAGAAATTGCAGAACTTGCAGATCAAGTCAAAATGTTGAAAATTGATGTGAGGTAAGATGGTATATAACAGTCTATAATTATGGGCTTAAGAAATGCAAAGTCCGCCGAAGCCGGTTTGGCTCAGTGGTAGAGCGTCGGTCTGCGGACTGAAAGGTCCCAGGTTCGATTCCGGTCAAGGGCATGTACATTGGTTGGGGGCACATCCCCGGTAGGGGGTGTGCAAGAGGCAGCTGGTCGATGTTTCTCTGTCATCGATGTTTCTAGCTCTCTATCTCTCTCCCTTCCTCCTCTCTGTGAAATATCAATAAAATATATTTAAAAAAAAAAAAAAAAAAGAAATGCAAAGTCCTTAATTTATACCACAATACTTTTCACTTATTAATACACTAAGGCCTGTTGCAGGAAGATTCCTGTAAGAACAGGGCTTCTGGTGGGCTTCCCTCCCGCCACTGCCGCCTCTCCTGCCCGCCCCCTCCCCGCCCCGCACTTTCCCTGCCACCTCTGCCTCCCACTCCCCGCCTCATGTTTTCTTCCTGCCACCCCCGCCCCCCCACCTCCACGCTTTCCCTCCCGCAGCCACTGCCCCCCCTGCCCTTTCCCTCCCACCACTGCTGCCCCTTGCTTTCCCTTCCACTGCCGCACCACACTTTTCCACCACCCGCCACCACCCACGCTTTCCCTCCCACAGCAGCCTTGCTTTCCACTTTCCCTCCCTCTTCCTTCTATGCTGTCTTCAGTCTTCACTCCCTCCCTCAGCATATGCAAATTAACTGCCATCTTTGTTGGGTTAATTTGCATACTCACTCTGATTGGCTGTGGGCATAGCCAAGGTATGGTCAATTAGCATTTTTCTCTTTTATTAGTGTAGATTTGCCTGCTAAAATCATATTCCTTGCTAATATTGTTTCAATTCTTCAACTAAACTGTCAGGGATACATGTGCAGAGAACCATGTCTTTTAATTTTTTTGTATGTCCCCCACAGCATCTCATACAATGCCCATATATGGTAGGTGCTCAATACAAGCTTATGATTGAATGACAAAAATAACTAACCCTACTTTGAGTTCACAGACTGAAACTCTCACACCTATAATTCACACAATTAAACCTCCCTCTATGCAACAGTTTAATGGACATTCCTGGGGAGAGTACTGCTGATTCCACTAAACTTATTACACTAGGTTTCTTCTCCATGAAAGAGCTCAAAGTACACATATAATGTTAGAATTCCTGACTACTGAGAAAGTGGGTGGGAAAGTGGGCAAGTGAAGAAAGAATATTATAATAGCTTGCCTCCAAAGAATAAGCATTGTTCAGACTTAGAGATTAAAACATTCCTAAAATGTCTCTGAACTAAAACTCCTAATTGATATCACTTCATTAAACTTTGTACTGGCACCCTGGTAGGTTGGGCTCAGTGGATAGAGCATCAGCCTGTGAACTGAAAGGTTCCAGGTTCAATTTTCAGTCAGGACACATGCCTGGGTTGAGGGCTCAATCCCCAGTAGGAGGCATGCAGAAGGCAGCAATCAATGATTCTCTCTCATCATTTATGTTTCTCTCCCTTCCTCTCTGAAATTAATTAAAAAAACATTTTTAAAAAAAAACAATTTTGTACTGGCTAACTTTCATCAGAACGAATATCATTAAAACCAAAAACTCACCATAAAAAAAAAAAAATCCTAAAAATTTCAGCTAGCCCTAACCCGTTTGGCTCAATGGATAGAGCATCGGCTTGGGGACTGAAGGGTCCCGGGTTCGATTCCGGTCAAGGGCATGTACGTTGGTTGCGGGCACATCCCCGGTAGGGGGTGTGCAAGAGGCAGCTGGTTTCTCTTTCATCAACGTTTCTAGCTCGCTCTCTCTTTCATCAACGTTTCTAGCTCGCTCTCTCTTTCATCAACGTTTCTAGCTCGCTCTCTCTCTCTCTCCCTTCCTCTCTGTAAAAAATCAATAAAATCTTTTTTTTTTTTAAAGTGAAAATATCAACTGATTCTGCACAAAACAATAGAGCTGAGGAAGTATTGTGCAATAAGAAGCCGACTTCTATCTGTGGAAATCTAGGGAAATTACCTAGCAAATTTAAGCTGGACATTGAAGACTCAGTAGGAGTTTGAGGCAAAGAGGAGGATCCTCAAAAGACACCCAGCAGGTGTGGTTCAGTGGTTGAGCATCAAACTGTGAACCAGGAGGTCACAGTTTAATTCCAGTCAGGGCACATGTCCGGGTTGCCTGCTTGATCCACAGTGGGGTGTTTGCAGGATGCATCCAATCAATGATTCTCTCATCATTGATGTTTCTATTATACCTCTCCCCTTACTCTCTGCAATCAATAAAAGTTTATATTTTTTAAAGAGGGGGGGAAATAGTATTATAGGTAAAGAGAAGGCTACTGGATAAAGCATATTGGGTATGGCAAGAGTGTTAAATAGGAGAGAGGAAAAAGGGAAAAAGTTAGGGTAGAGTCAGATCCTGATGGCTCTGGTATGCTAAGCTATGAAATTTGTAGTTTATATCCCTAGGTCAGTGATCGGCAAACTCATTAGTCAACAGAGCCAAATATCAACAGTACAATGATTGAAATCTCTTTTGAGAACCAAATTTTTTAAACTTAAACTATATAGGTAATGTATTAAGTTATACATTGTTATTAACTTAATTAGGGTTCTCCTTCAATCGCACAGCATGTGGTATTTTGTGGAAGAGCCACACTCAAGGGGCCAAAGAGCCGCATGTGGCTCTCAAGCTGCAATTTGCTGACCACTGCCCTAGGTAATGGAGACAAAGTGGAAATCTTCAAGCAATGTATGACAAAAACCTGAAGAATCAGTTCACATAACAGGAAGAACCTAGGTTACATTACAATCACCTCAAAGGCATTACCGTATTTTTCGGACCATAAGACGCAGGGACTTTTCCCCCCCAGAAGTGGGGGGGGAAAAGTCCCTGCGTCTTATGGTCCAAATATAGCCTACACATATACTTTAAAAAAAAAGTTTTTTTACTTGCCTGGCTCTGTGTGGTCTCTGTGTGCTTGCCCGGCTCTAAAATGGTTCTAAATGCTGCTGTTTACTTTACACTTTACAGGGTTGATTACATGTGTTTATGACTGTGATGTTGGGTTTTAATGCACATAAAATATTTTAGGACACTATTTGTTTCAGAATCTTTTTTTCTTCATTTTCCTTCTCTAAAAACTGGTGCGTCTTATGGTCCGGAGCGTCTTATGGTCCGAAAAATACGGCACTTAATATTACTCCATATTGACTGTGCTGATGCAGACACAAAAGAAATCTAAGTGTAACCTATTCCTCTGTCCTTGCTTGCTTTCAACTGCATCTCAAGGCTCAGTCATTGGCCCTCTTCCCTATTCCCTGGCTGATCTCACCAGATTCATGTATCTCAACACCATCTATGTACTGATGACATCCCAAATGCATGACTTTGATCTCCATTTAGGAACAACTTCCTAAATGATCTCCTGCTGCCCTCTGGCCTATAAAGCAGCCAATGACCTTTTAAAACATCAGTTAGATTGTATCATTTTTTTCTTTTCTTGTTTTGTTAACCCTCTCCGGAGGATATTTTTCCAATTGATTGTTAGAGTGGAAGGGAAGTGGAAGGGAGTCTGGAAAAGAGGGAGAGGGAGAGGAAGGAGAGGAAGAAGGAGGGAAAAGGAGGGAGAAGAAAGGAAGGGTAGGGGAGAAAGAGAGAGAAGCATCCATGTGAGAGAAACACATGGATTGGTTGCCTCCTGAACTAGCCCAGACAGGAGCCAGGATTGAACTTGCGACCCTTTGGTACAAAGGCAACACTAACCACTGAGAAAATTTGGCTAGGGCTTTATCGTTTTTCTTCAAAAACTGTCCAATGGATCCCATCACACTTAAACTAAGTGCCTTTCTGGTCTGCAAGGCTCTATACTAGGGGTGTCGAACTCAATCAGAGAAGGGGCCAAAATCTAAAATCTAAAATGGTTTACTGAACAGTCATAAACTGTCATTGTGATGGAAACGCAGCGGAGTGCAGTGATGACAGCGCGGTGCGGGCCACATTGCAAGGCCTGGCGGGACGGATTTGGCCCACGGGCCTTGTGTTTGACACATGTGCTCTATACCATCTGAGACCAACCAACTTCCCAATATCATGTCCCCACCTCCACCACCAATTAATAACCCAAACAATTTCCACACTCTAGCACACTAGCCTTCTTGCATTTCCTTGAAAACCCCAAACTACTTTTCACCTGAGTCTTTGCATTAGAATTCCCACTGCTTGAAGTGGTCCACATATTAGTGTGGCTCCCTCCTTACTACTCAGGTCTCTTGATGCTCAAATGTTACCTTTGAGAAGCCTTACCTAACAACCTATCTAAAAGAACCACCAAGCCCCCATCACCACATTCTATCCTCTTGTGCTATTTTCTTCACAGCACTTTGACGATATCTGAAATCGTATTTGTTTATTAGCTTACTGTCTATTCATTAGAATATAAATTCCAAGAGAGTAGAGACTGTCTCATTCACTGCTCAATCCCTAGATCTGGTATAATATCTGGCATATAGTAGGGCTGAATTTTGAATGAACAAATTAACCTAATTAGTCTAATCTATCTTATTTATATTCTCATCCTGTTATGCATAATTGAATAATTCCTTTCGCACCTTTGAATTTAGATCTAATTCATGATTACCAGGCTGTTCTTCTAGGTAACAGAATCCTAAAACACTTCAAAGACTATTAAAACAGCCCAGCCAGGGGAGGGGCAGGGCCTGGTTCCCGTGAGAGAAAGGTGCTTTCTGGGCGGGAAGCAGCCCTGAGGGTCAGCCCTGGCCCTCAGTCCCCTGCTGCCCTCACTGTGAAGATGAGCTGTGTTTGTATCTATGTGTAAGACGCTGGGCGTGTGGGAGTGCGGCGGAGGTGTGTGCAGGCGTGTCTGGGGTGGCACTTGCTGTGGGGTCACCCTGGAGGGGCCGGGCGCCAGCTGGCGGGAGGTTTGGTTACACACATGCCTGTCTCGGCATCCGTCCTTGTCTGTGGTGACTGTGTCAATAAAGCCCACCGTGGAGACCTCCAAAAAAAAATAATAAAATAAAATAAAATAAAATAAAATAAAATAAAATAAAATAAAATAAAATAAAATAAAACAGCCCAGTCAG